TCACTTTAGCTAATTAAATGACTTACTTTACAGTGACTTGTAATACTATTTTATGATATCAAATGTTTTAAATCTTTGATATTTGACGAATTCTCCAAAATCAAATTCTAAATTCAGTGTTATGACCTCAAACTAAATGTTTAGAGGTCCAAGAGGGACATATTGAGTCAATTAGGCCTATTAAAATCATGGAAGAAGCATTGTAAAATATAAAATTGTATTTAACTTTCTTTGGGTTATATTTATGTAAATGTGTTATTAGTATTTATTCCAAAATTATCTGAGATTCCTATAATTCTGATATGTCTCAGTATATGTTATCAGTAATAATACTTATGTTAAATTGTTGTATGGACTTTTAACCATGACTGTCATAAGACTTTTATCACTCTCAATTATTGTTTTACTTTAATTCTTCTCAAAAAGCATTTTATTAGCAGCTACAGTTCAAAACATGCTTCTTTTGGGGAGTTCACGTAAAGGACTTGTGTGAGTGTTTTTGAATACAGGTTTCTGATAACTTTGCAGATTGTGCCATTGGACTAGAAATAAAACTAGACTCTAAAAAGCTGATGTGTTCATTATCCCTGTAACCAAAACCCACTTGCTCCCTAAAAACTATTGAAATATAAAATAGATAAATGAATTAAATAAAGAAAGTTAAAAAGGAAGAATAAAATTTTAAATAACCTCACTAACCTACCTCTCATGATAAATTCTGCAATTGGTTGAGAAATTATCATAATCTAGAAAGTATAGGGCAGTGTGACTGAGCACCAAATGCAAAATCCCCAAATACAAACTCCACTAGAAGAATGCAGGCTTCTGAAAGAATTCCCAGCAAGATGCAATAAATATATTAAGGTAAGAGCAACAACAAAAGGCTGATGTGTTCGTTTTTCTGACTTTGATTCAATGAAATTGCTACTACCTTTTTTCCCGAGGTCCTGCAAGCTGAATCTTATACCTTGTGATACAGGTGAAAATTAAAGATGCTTTTAAGTCTTACATCTGATCACCTCAATTGACTACCTGCTAGACTCTAAGAAAACTGGTTTATAGATTGTTCCCAACAATAACCTTTATTTTTCTTCTGTTTGAAAGCCCATCTGCCATGCCATCTCCTAAAATAAGATGCAGCTGTTTAATGGGACTGGTCTATTCCCAGACTGGTTACATTTAAATGTTAAGTCTCCACTGCAAGCTAAACATAGATCATATGTTACATGCATGTTTGTTCAATATGCATGTGTCAGAACCATGTTCATGAATAATCATAGCTTTTCCTGTAACCTATTAAGTATGTATGTTTAGCTAACCTGTTATATCCACACAGGAACCCCAGATACAACTGACAATGGAGAATAAACTTACTGCCTTTCCTATTAATATGGGAGGGACATATATTCTGTAGTTAACACCCATCTATCCTATGATTCAAAGACTATGATGGTTACAGGGGTGTTGAGGGAAACTGTGACTTACCCCTTAGTGCAATCTTTAGATTGTCATCTTGGAGACCAGAATTGATGGGAAAAACTGAAAAGATGAACCATACTCTCAAAAGAAGCATTGTCAAAATATGTCAAGAAATGAATTTGATTTGGGATAAGTCACTGCTGGTTGCCCTGTTGTGGATTACAGTGGCTCTCTGAAGTAGACTCAAATTGAGTCCCTTATGGTAGGCTATTTGAGGTGTCTGCTCCAGTGGGACCGCCAACTGATGCTTTAAGAGATTTAGCAATTGCCAAATATGTTAAGACTCTGGGCATTATACTGACTTCTGTTCATGAGTTTGCTTCTAGCAGGACCACTCATCCCACAGATGTAGCGCTAGATCATTTTCAACTGGGAGACTGTGTCCTCCGAAGACTGAGAAAACAAGGACTTGAACACTGATTTGCTGCCAAGTTGACAGGGCCATTCAAAGTGCTGTCAAATATTCACTCATCAATTAAACTTGCTGGAATAAAGCCATGTTTGTCCTTTGGGGATTTTCATTTGCTTGGCAAAACAACTCTTTAGTTAGGATCTCGCAATCTATTGCCTCTTCTGCTAAACTCTCCCACTGCCAGATTTGTCTTCCTAAACTGTATACAATTTTACTTAGGTTGGTGCAACTGTGGTTTCAGACCATGAATTTTAAATCATTATAACCAGGCTCAAATATATCTTTATTAATCAAAATAGGAACCATTACAATCAACACATTTTTGCCAATGAGAAATAAGTTTGCTTATTCCTGTAGTGTAAAAATCCATGCTTAAGGATTCAGTGAACTCTTGGAAAGCATTTTCGGCATCCTACTGGTTGTGGAAGTTGTCAAGATGCTTGAAGAAGTAGTAGTCGGTTGACAAGAGGTCAGGTGAATATGGCAGATGAGGCAAAACTTCATAGCCCAATTTGTTTAACTTTCGAAGCACTGTTTATGTGACCTGCAGTCAGGCGTTGTCATGGAGAAGAATTGGGCCCTTTCTGTTGACCAATGCCAGCTGCAGGTTTTGCAGTTTTTGGTGCATCTCATCAATTTGCTGCACATACTTCTCAGATGCAATGGTTTTGCTGGGATTCATAAATTTGTAGTCGATCAGACCGGCAGCAAACCACCAGTGACCATGACCTTTTTCTGGTGCAAGTTAGGCTTTGGGAAGTGCTTTGGAGCTTCTTCTTGGTCCAACCACTGAGCTGTTCATCACCAGGTGTTGTATAAACTTATCATAGCACATCACAATCCAACTGAGAAATGGTTCATTGTTGTTGCTTGGAATAAGAGAAGATGACAATTCAAAATGACAGTTTTTTAAATTTTCACTCAGCTCATGAGGCATCCACTTATTGAACTTTTTCAGCTTTCTAATTTGCTTTAAATGCCAAATGACCATAGAAAGGTCAATGCTGAATTCTTCAGCAAAAAAGTGTAATTGTAAGAGGATCAGTTTTGATGATTGTTCTCAATAGGTCATTGTCAATTTCTGATGGCTGGCCACTATGCTTCTCATCTTCAAGGCTCTCGTCTCCTTACAAAACTTCTAACCACCACTGCACTGTACATTCGTTAGCAATTCCTGGGCCAAATGCGTGTTGATGTTGAGAGTTGTCTCTGCTGCTTTATGACCCATTTTGAACTCGAATAAGAAAATCACTCGAATTTGCTTTTTGTCTGACTTCATTTCCATCGTCTATAATAAATATAAAACAAATAGCAAGTAATAAGTCATTAACAAAAAAAAAGCGAGAACTGTGCATTAAAATGATGAATAACATAACCACATTTATTTAAAAATGTATTCCAATATCAAACGGCAAATTTCAACAATGCAAAAACTGCAATTACTCTTGCACCAACCTGAAGCCTGTTTCTCCAATCACCTACAGAGTCTGATTGATAACTTCGTACCCAGAGGTCCATGCTTCTTTCTTACTCAGCACTGCATTACACATTATGTGCAAAGAAATAATAAAGACTCACAGGCCTACAAGTGTAATTTCTATTGACCAAATGACCTCCCTAGGTTAAGCCACCTATTGCACTTACATTAATTCCTCCTCTAAAGTAGAGACCCATATTAATAAAATTATACAATAGGCTACCTGACTTCAACAAACCTTAGAACACCAAAGCAGAATTAATCTGGGCACTTTCGGGGACTTGTTTATAGACCTATTCTCTGGGATCCCTAGTGGAATTCAGTTAATCCTGGAAAGCATTCTTAAATTGGGCCTTAATATTCTTCTTTTGTCCTGGTGGCCTACAGACTAGTAAAACTAACTAGGTATTGTGTAACCAAAGGTTGCATGAGTTTGACTAAAACTATCAAAGCAAGAAAGAAGATGTCCATGATCATTGCTCCTAAAAGAAGCACTAAGGAATATTTCCTTAGGCAGGTCAAATGATTTTATTCTACAGGCGCCCCTCATCAACTTGTTCGTCATCAACCTTGTCCAGCAAGAAATAGGCAGATGAGAGACAAAATTCTTTTGTACCCAATCCCACAAGACTGTGGAATGACCTTCAACAGTGCAGAAATTGTAGTAGTGAAAGCAGGTCTAGCATGACTAGTTCCACTTGGCTCCTAAACCCACCAGTGCCCCCAGCACCCTGCACAATGATATCATTTAGGTTAACTGCTTTTGATTATTTCTGTACATAGGCCAAACTAATTATGGGAGGAATTTACAGTTTACCTTTAAAGCAAGGATAATAGTTCCTTCCCAAAACAAATCCCTGAGGAGACAAGGATGGTGTACACATAAGTAACCATGCTATGTTAAAGATTTATAGGAGCATTGTGACCTGACCAAATGCAGTTTCACAACCCTCCCTGAGACCCTTGTTGCCACCCATATGTCTGTGATCATTGATCACCTCTTGATCTCAACTTTCTCCCTTTTCGCCTTCCCCTAACATAAACGCGGCCTAAAATTCTATTAACTAAAGATGGTTCTTTAGGACACCAGTACATTATATTCTTGGTTTACTGGCTGTCCAAAATAAAGTTGCCTTCCTTTCCCCAACACCTTGTCTCTCAACTTATTGGCTATTTTGCAGCAAGTGGTATAAGCTTGGACTTGTTTACAGCTCAGCAATATATATGAAGAAAAACAGAAATTTTATATATATACACATACATATATATGTATGAGGAGAGGGAATATGTGGGTGAATCTAGGTAAAAGCTATATGAATGTCAATTTTAATAATCTTACAGATTTTTGGTCAGTCTGATTCTCTTTCAGTATAAAAGTGCATAATTTAAAAAATGTTGAGAGTTCTATTCTGAGAGGTGTTCAAGCAGAGACTGGATGAATTTCTGAGTAATAGGGATTTTTGCTTGGTTTATAAAATGGGACTGGATGATTTCAATTTGACCCTTAATGTGATGATTAACTTTATGTGTCAACTTGGCTAGGCCACAATACCCTGGTATTTGGTCAATCAGCAGTCTGAATGTTTTTGTGAAGGTATTTTTTTTTTACATGAGATTACCATTTAAATCAGTAGACTTTGAATAAAGCAGGTTATGCTCCACAGTGTGGGTAAGGTTCATTCAATCCACTGAAGGCCTTAGGAGAAAACACTGAAGTCCCCAGAGGAAGAGGGAATTCTGCCTCCTGACTGTCTTCAGACTGAAACTGCAACATCATCTCTTCCCTGGGTCTCAAGTCTTCCAGCCTACCCTGCATATTTTGGACTTGCCAACCTCCATAATCACGTGAGCTAATGACTTAAAATAAATCAATGGTTTCTGTTTCTCTGGTGAACCTTGATTAATAAACTTAGATTCTATTTCCAGCTGCCTCCTTGCAATTTTCATCTTCCCAGAAGCCCCTTACCCTCTCTCCCACTCCTTGTGTTCAGGGCCTGACATGTAATAGAAGCTCCTCCCCACTACCAATTATGTAACGCAAGGCTGAGAAGAAGCTCAAGGTGCAGTCTAAAAACTAAGATATCATTTGTTATTCTTATTATTGTAAGTTTTGTAATTACCACGATTGCTATATAGAACATGTCAGGATCGTGGCTAGCCTGAAGCCTAACCTCTGAATGATCCATGTCTAATCACAGAGTATGAGTGTCTTAAATGTCATCCCACTCCACTGCTGTGATATATGCCTTCATTAAGATTAAGGAGAAAGAATTTAAATATCGGGGCTGAGCATTTGAACAATCATGTCATTTCTATTGATCACCTAATGAAAATGTATGGCATTTAACAGTGAATAAATCAGTTTACATAAGGATGCTAGCTTCTACCACTCTGCTCATGCCATTTCCAGGAAAGCCTTCATCATATTTACTGTAACAGTGCATTTCTTTTTTTTTTTTTTTTTGAGACGGAGTCTCGCTCTGTCGCCCAGGCTGGAGTGCAGTGGCCGGATCTCAGCTCACTGCAAGCTCCGCCTCCCGGGTTTACGCCATTCTCCTGCCTCAGCCTCCCGAGTAGCTGGGACTACAGGCACCCGCCACCTCGCCCGGCTAGTTTTTTGTATTTTTTAGTAGAGACGGGGTTTCACCGTGTTAGCCAGGATGGTCTCGATCTCCTGACCTCGTGATCCGCCCGTCTCGGCCTCCCAAAGTGCTGGGATTACAGGCTTGAGCCACCGCGCCCGGCCAACAGTGCATTTCTAAGGGTCTTCCAATTGCAGAAAGTACACTATGGCTGAAGAAAGGTTCGGCACTTTAGTTCTGCCATTTTGTTACCAAGTGATGTAAATAAAATTTAGACACTGGTCAGCATGATGAGAACCCAAAGAGATGAAATGTAGAGACTGGTTTCCTGCAGATGTGATGTTTTAGAGCAATCATAAAAAAATTCCAAATAGAGAGGATAAATATAAGGATAGAAACAGTCACGGAGTAATAAACTAACACCTTTAAAGAAAAGTAAAGAAGTGTATCACGTAGCTGAAATGGGTGAGAATTGTGTCACCTACAGAATCTAACTCATAGTCATCAGAGGAAATAAAAATATTCCCAAGAAGCCATGGCAACTGTTCCTGGAGGCAACTGTGGATGCCACTCCTGGCAACTGCGACCCTGCCGTAATTTCAGAAGTTAGACATCATTTGCTAAACAAGAAACTTCTGATTTCTTTTTAAATTAATCGTGAGGATGGGAAGGGGGAAAGTTTCACTGTCCTCGATTTTGCAGATTCCTTTGAGCTCCAAAGCACACAGAGGGCCACAGGCATGCCTTCTTTTGAGAAAGACACTCTCTGACCTTCTTATCTAAAGCGGCACATGCACCCCATGGCGTTCTAGCCCCTCACTCTGCTGTCTCCACAAAGCCTATTCCTGCCCGAGGCCAGCAGGCTGGCAGCTGGTAAGGCCTACGACCTGAAGCTGGCGGCCTGCATGTGCGGCCTGCTTCTGTGACTTGACAGCTGGGGGGCGGGGTTGGGAGGAGGAAGACCTTGGAGAAGGTACTTAGTTTTTCTGTTCCTCCGTTTCTTCTTCCGAAAAATAGGAATGTTAATAGTGCCTATCTCATAAGATTGTGAGAATTAAATGAGTTACTATTGAAAGCCCTGGGAGCACTGTCTGGCAAATAGTCATACTCTGAAATAAAACAGGTGAGCAAAATGTATTCATTGTTTATTGTCTGCCCTATTGGAAGATGAGCTCCACAAGAGAAGGGCCTTATCTTACCCTCTATTGCACCCTCAGTGCTTATGGCAGTGCCTGACCCATGGTGGGCCTCAGTAAATACCTGCAGAAGGTAAGGCTGGGAGCATTGTCGGCTTCTTTTGTGCTGCTTTCCTGGTTTCTCTCTTCTCTTACTCAAATGACCTCATTTGGGTGATCTGGCTTATGTGTTTAGTTAGAAACTCATTAAAATATTTTATGCCAACAAATTCTACAGGAATGTAATCTTGTTAATCCATTCATTCATTAATTCGTTTATTAAGATCATATAGTTGAAGGCCTATAGTGTCTCCTGACTCAAATATATGGCCCAGACAATACTCAGCATGTATTTCAACTATAAGATAATGAGATGTCATTTAAATAACCACTCTAGGCTAAGCCGTTGGGTACAGAGGCCAGCAGGGAAAAGGGATAAGTTAGGAACAGTCAGGGTTGAGATCAGGAACCAACTTTGCCATTGAACATGCATGGGAGGGGTGGCCTGCCTTCCAAATCACAGAATAAAAGGGATCCAACCAAGCTGGCAGCTTTATCTAGGGTCTTCTCTGGTGAACAGAGTGACACAGAGCACCCTGCGGACGGGGTAATCATCGGGTCTGGTCCTAGCTAAATGGAGGGGCAAGAGGACCCATTTGAATTGAAGCAGGTCCTTAGCAACTGAGCTGACTCAGGGTTCAACTCCAAGGAAGTTGGAAGTTGCAGTAGTCTGGGCTTAACTAAGAATTCACACGTTCTCCAGTCCCAGACACATGGCCTGTATTTTAGAACAGAGTCCAGTGCCAGCAAGAAACGGGAGAACTAATCAGTGACCAGTGCGCAGTTGCCAGGGAGACAAAACCAGCCCTACTGCAGTCTCCATGAAACCCTTGGTTTTGGCCTTTCCTCATTTGGGGGTCTGGGCTTTCATATGCATTTGAAAACCAACATCCTTTAGTTCTTGGAAATGTTGCTTATTACTTCTTTAGTAATTACCTCCTTTCCATTTTCTCTCTTTCAGAAATTCTTAATTAAATCTATCTCCCAGTTTGATCCTCTATTTTTTTTATTATTTCTTTTTCTGTTCTCCTGTTAGAAATCTATAGGGGCTTTTGTTTGTTTTGCTCACCGGTCTATTTCCTTAAATTTATCTCCTAGCAATTCTACTGATTTCAGTTTTCAAATGTTAACTTCCAAGAGCCTACCAGTTCTTGTTTTATGGATATAGTGTATTCTTGTCTCCCTCTGAGGAATGTGGTTATAAAGTGTTTGTGGCTGTTACTTTTCTTGCCGTATAGTTGCTGAATCTTTTGAGTTCCTCTTTAGTTTTTCCTTTTTTGTCTCTGCCTTGCTTGTTGAAGACTTCCTTCACATCTGCTCCTCTTTGTCAGTCCTTACTCATAAGAGTGAGCCCCTTGAGAGTGGAGTGAAGCTCTGTGTTCAAGGCTAGTCCTTGTTTCCTGGTTAGCTTCACTGTGGGATTATGGGTAGAGATGGCCATTTTGTTGAGTGACCCTAAAATACTGGCATCTGTAGGTCTGTTCTCCTGCTCAATCTGTTTATCCAGAGAGCATCCTCCACTCTCCTAGCCAGAGAGCTAAGGCTGGTCACCAGAGAATGGAGGTTGAGTTGGGCAGGGGCTCACTACTTGGTATTAGACTTTCACTAATCCCCTGCTTCCATCCTCTTGCCTCTTCTCCTCCACTTCTCCCAACTGGTGTTCCTGAATCTGTCCCTTCTTTGGGAACTTCAGAAAGTTAATCAAGTCTTCCTAGCAAATTCTAAAGATCACAAGGAGTAGCTTATTCAGCAGGATCAATTTTACAGGGTTGCAAATCAGAACTTAAAGACTTTTTTCAGGCATCGCCTTTTGAGGACAATGATTAAAAGGGGCTAAAAAAACCATAAAGAGCTTAGTATAGAAGAGCACGATTGTGCAGGCTAGCATATTCACATGCATGCTCCCAGACACTTTAGGGTGTAGGACCGGGCATGGGTGGGAGTGGAGGGGCAGCCCAGGGACTTCCATGTGTGCTTTTGTTTTGGGTTCATAGTAGGAGCCTATTGGGTAAATCACTTTACCTTCACTAGTAAAATTAAATTAGAGGCTTAGAGTATGGGATCTTTAGGTTCCCTTCAGCTCTAAGATCATCTGTTCTATTCCACAGTAATAAAGTCATCTCATTTTTATCCCTGTAGGTAGCTAGGATGAATCATATACAGACATCATAAATTCTACTTCCGGACATTAAGGTGATATGACATGAATGTCACAAATAACAGTAATATCTCCCACATCTTGTGGTTTGAAGGGATAAATGAAGAAGCAATGTTACCTGTGCTTTGCACTTGTAGTTATTTGAGCTTTTCTTTCAGGCTTGAAAAGGCAAAGGCTGTAAAATGGTTTCTTTTAAGGCTTGTTAACATTGGAATTTTATATTTAAAAACCTGCATTATGTATTTAGGAAATAAGAGTGAAAGAAATCAGTGTTGGTGGCTGGGGATGAATTTGAATGTGTAATTGTACACATCACTTCTGAAGGGCAGCTGCAGGAAGCATGTTGGTACGGTGTGCTGGGGTCTATGAGATTGGTTGCTAATGAACGCTTAGCACACACACATTTACACACACAGACACACTCACGCGTGACCTTGGCATCTGCCCTTGGAAATGTCTGGAAATGCTTTCAACACTGCCTTTGTGTACAGTGAAGTGTCCTAGTAATCAGACTTATGAGATACTGGGATCTATTTCAGCAAAAGAAGAAAAAAATAAAGAGAAGGTACTATTCCTCTGGAAAACCTTTGTTCTTCCATAAGCTTAGTTCCTTTCCCTCATACCTCCTTGGGATAAGAGTTTTCTCAATTAGAAACGCTTTTATCTGCAATTTGTAAGATAATGGCTCCCTGGCACCCTTGCAGGTCTCCACACAGGCCCTGGAGGTGAGGCTCAGCTGCAGCCTGACTTGTCTTGGTGAATGAACGCCTTGTCATGCTCTCAGGAACTTGGCATGAATGGCAGTTCTGTGTGGTGCTGTCAAGGCTGTTGCCATTCACCTCCCCACCTTGTGGGAGGTTGTCACAAGGT